TTGCTCATTAAGCCCAGCCACACTGGGCCAGGCCGGGTCAGGAGAAGCCCCGGGATTAAAACCTCTTACTTGGTCTCAGCCTGCTAAGGACTCACTCCTGCTGGACTTAGATGCGCCTGCCCACCTCTGGGCTTCACCCTTGGCAGTTCCTTTGTCCCAAGCTTGTTTTCACGCTTCCTTAGGAACAAGCCCTGGTTCACCATGTTGACGCCCATCACACGGCCAGACTGGGGCATGTTTGCCTCCCATCCTCTGTGTTGAAGAGGAGGCCCTGGGGCTGGACTCCCACCTGTAGTCTTGCCCTCTCCTGACCTATCTGGTCTCATTCTGCCTTCTCCACTGTGTGGTGATAAAGGTGGCAGCAGTGTTCCAGACTCAAGCACTTTGGGCCAGCCCTCGCCTGGCACCCATGGGCTTCATCCTACCCAGCCCGGGTGAATGGAAACAGGGCCTGTGGGACTTTGGAGGCCTCCAGCTAGCCAGTTAGATGCAGAAATAGGCTATGGCTACTGAGGAAGGATCCAGTATGTCTCAGGGTGGGTATAACATCAACCACATCCTCTCTGCCCTCCCTGTGCTACCCCTCAGCCTGACCGGCCCTTCTTCCAGTCCAGGCCCCTGCTCTCCAGGTCCCCACTAGTCCATGGAGATACCTGAGCCCCAGATGAGAGGAAACTTCGCAGTTTCCCTCCCCACAGCGGGCTGGGTTCTACTTACAGAATACCTCAAAGCGTTTTGCACAAAACTCCCAGGTGACCAAAAGCAGGCCCACCACTCCACCAGCCCTGCCGGATGCTGACACGGGCCTGAGTCGGAGAGGAATGCAGAAGAGGCCCAGGTGTCTGGGTGGGCGATTGGGGGGGTGCGGTTGGTTTGGACAGGCTGGGCCTGCTGCCTGTGGACCATCCCAGAGGAAGGAGGGTCCAGTGGGCACTTGGATAATGGTGGAGTGCCCGCATTCCCTCACTATGAGCGTTGTGAGATTAGGTTCTCAGGTGCCTGCTTACTTTGGAAGACAGAGGATTAGGTGGTGAAGAAATCAGCGAGAGGGCAGGTAAAGAGTCATGACTAGTGGTCATGGGGCAGTGACAGCCATGATCTTGTTGTTTTTCTTAACTTGTCACCTATTATTAGTCACTAGTCCATACAAATTGACTAGGGATGTAGTTACCTCTGGGGAGGGGTGTGTGGAATGGGCTGAGTGAAGTGCCAGGACTTCAACAGTAATGACAATGGTGAGTTCATAGGTGTTTGTGTCATATCTCACATGTGTATTATAAATATCAGTAAATCTACTCGAGGTAATAAAGCCTGTTAGAATTAATTATAAAATTATACTGTACCTTAATATTAGTTAAGATTGTCTAGAGTAGTACTATTAAGAAACTAATTTATTACTTTTTAAATTAAATTTATTAACTTAAACCCTTGGCCATATCCCACTCACCTCAAACTTCCCTTTTTGGCTTTCGTGTCCTGTTGAACCTTTGATTCATTCTCATTTTTCAACTCAAAGAGGTTCCCTTTTCAGAATCAGCCCAGGACACTGTGGGTGCCAGCACCACGCAGCCCCCGTAGGGGATGGCTGGACCACCCTTCTTTCCTAGGTGCTGATGGAAAGAGGAAAGAGAGCTGCGTGTTTTCATTTTCTTGCCAAATCATTGTCACACGTTGCCCTTTGGTCCTGTAGCAAATGTTATCTGCTTGGAGCAAGAGAAAAACCATGCCATTCAGTGTGTCCCCAGTGACCTAAGCTAGCCACCACCCCTGCAGTTACTACCCCGGGCTGCCATTAGGATTGACTTAAATGCCACAGGTCCTTCATGTCACAGGGCAGCTGTGTAGCTCTCATCTCCCATGTTCCTTGATATCACAGTGACCATTTGTAAAATTACATATTTTTCTGTGGATTCTACCAAAAGATGAAATGTGAGTCTCAAACCAATGCCTGTTAGAAGAGGAAATGTATGTCTTAAACCAACCCTATCAGATTCGTTTTAAGGTATTTATGCAAGAAGTGTCATCTTTGCACCATTCTGGCCCCATGTGTCTGTGCTGAGCCCCGATTCCCCCCACGTCCCCCAGCTGAGCTGCTGGCGGGACAGACCGTGCAGGCTCCCCTTGTCTCGCACCTCCCTGCAGGCGCAGGGGAGCTGTGGAAGGTGATGACAGACGAAGGCCATTCCCAAACACAGTGTTGGGGTTGTCATTTCCTTGGCAGGGCTGACACTGTGCGCCTTCTAGGAGCATGAGGTGTGTGCATTTCATGAATGAGAAGCAGCAGCGGCTGTAACCTTGACACCCTCGGGCAGGATGCCCCCGGTGCCATTCTGCGCTGGAGCCTCGCAGCAGCAGTAGGGAAGGCAGGAGGGTGGGCCGTGCGGGAACTTTCCTGTTACCTAGCAAGACAGTTCTTGGATAGCAGATAGCAATGACTGTCACTACTTTAAACATGAAGAGACTTTCTCATGACAGACTGCACTCCCAGGTTATAGTGTTATCCCCCCACCCCCACCCAGAAGTCCCTGTTTTCCCAGCTTGGACGTCACCTCACTTCTCACTGATTCAGGAACATAAGGAACCCATGCCACCGAATCAGGAAATCGGGATACAAGATGTGTACAGTTGGATAAACCTTGGCATATCAAATGTATCCACCATCTTGCTATGAAAGGTGTCATTGTTTCCCTGAATAAATTATACAATTTTTAAGATCCCTCTATTTGCTGCATGACACCCCCCCGTTAGTCCTAGATTGGTTCCCTTCGATTCAAGGGCACTGACGGTAAAGTCCGACAGACTGAAGGGTAGACTTGATGAAGCTATGTGGCTCTAGAATTCTGTATCTCTGACTTATTTTTCTCTAATAGCTTTTAACTATCTGGCATATTTTCCATTTCTGCCTGGGAAGACAGACATGTGGTTTGAATTCTTTCATTTGCATAGACAGAATAACTGGATGATCAAAGTTTTTGGTTAAACAAATAGGAATGTGCAGCACAGCCAGAAGTCTTTAAAGGAGGTGACATTTATTTTAGGGTCCAGTTGTTACTTCATGACGATTTGATTATAATGTTCATTTCTGTTTAATGTGGTATCTTAGTCAGCTTGAACTGCTGTAATAATACAGTAGACTGCATGGCTTCAACAACAGAAACTCAGTCCTCACAGTTCTGAAGGCTGGGCAGTCCAAGGTCAAGGCGCCAGCGAGTTTAGTTCCTGGTGAGAACTGTCTTGCTCCCTTGCAGTCATCTCTCTGTGTCCTCATATGGTGGAGAGAGAGAGATCTCGTCCCTTCTTATAATTCTACTTACGAGGGCTCTACCCTCATGACCTAAGATTCCTGTCTCCAAATATCATCCCACTGGGTTTAGGGCTTCAACACATGATGTGAGGGGGACATAAACGTTTAGTCCATGGTATGAAGTTAGCCAGTGAGTCAGATATTGGCCCACTGGCTAACTCGCATTTTAGAATAAAATGGGTGACTTTAAGCATCATAAATTAGTAAAACTAATACCGACCCTCTCTAGACCATGACCACTGACTAGAATATTCTCTGAATATACTGTCCCGAGAGCAGAGGGAAAGACAGTCATAGCCAGTGGCTTGTGTGGTGCTTAATAGCATGTATTTTAACAAGTGTGCTCAAGTTCTTTCCCTTTGTGGGGACTCTCCTAAGAGGCCCGAGGTATTTCCCCACCCACCTCACTCTGTTATGTTCACACACTTGGACACAGACAGACAGCAGGTTGTGGAAAAAGATGCCAGTAACATTTTTCTTTAGTTTAGAAAAGACTAGCAGAGAAAGCTGTAGGAATGAAGTGCTAATGAGGTTACTGGGGGAGGTGAGAAGCATAATGAATGTCAACAGTCAGCAGCAAGGGGACTTAAACAACAGAAATTTATTTTCTCACAGTTCTAAAGGCTGGGTCAGGGTGCCAGTATGGTCCATTTCTAGTCAGGACTCTTCCTGGCTGGTAGGTGGCCTCCTTGTCCTCTCCGTGTCCTCACGTGGCCTTCTATGCATTTGTATGGTGTGTAGGGGTGGGAAGAGGAAGGGAGAGAGAGCACTCTTGGTGTCTCTCCTTATGAAGACACTAATCCTATTGGATCAGGGTCCCACCCTTATGACCTCATTTAACCTTAAAAAGTTCCTTAGAGCCCCAGCTCCAAATACAGCTACACTGGAAATTTGGGAGGACACAAACATTCAGTCCACAACAGCTCTGAAGACAACTGGCTTTCAATTCCTACTCTGTTACAAACTAGGTGTGTGACTTTGAGGAAGTTCTCTAGCTTTTAAAAATACGGATTCTGGGGACCCAATCTGGACCAAATAAATCTGACTCTCTGGAAGTGGGGCTTGAGCATAGGTACTTTTCAAAAGCTCCTTAGATAAGCTTATTCATGTGCAACCCACCGAAGTGGTGGACTTTTTGAGGCAAAGACAGGAGGGTGAACTGAAGCAGAATCCATCTAAAGAATGATGTGAATTAAATACCTGTGAGGCTTGGCAGATCTGGCTCCGAGACACTCCCCAGGAGCCTCTGATATCTTCAGGACCACATGGTATGGTGGGGATGTTGGTCATACAAGACATCTGGGTTTGACTCAGTTACTTAGTAGCTATAAATTCCTTCCTTAGCAGTTTTAGCCCTCTCACCTGTAAAATGCCAGTCCTCAGGTTTTCTCTGGAATAAAATGAAATAGCAGATATGAAGAGGCTTTAGAACCCACATGGCATTTCAGGAAGGTAAACATCTTTGGGCCCCAACTTCACCCTGACTGGCCACTGTGTCGTGATTCCCAGCAAGTCACACTGTGAGGTCAGTGACCCCAGCTGGCTGTAGGACCAGTGTCCTCAGGCTGGAGAAACTTCCTCCTCATTCCTGCTCACTTTGCCCATATAGTTTGGGCTCTGATGGGAAGGGGTGGGACCTTGGTGACAGTGAAAGGGACTTTGACCTTGACCAATGTCCTCCTCTCATCTTCCATAGGAACATGCTTGCCAATTCAGCCAGCGTGCGGATTCTCATCAAGGGAGGCAAGGTGGTGAACGATGACTGCACCCATGAGGCTGATGTCTACATCGAGAACGGCATCATCCAGCAGGTGGGCCGTGAGCTCATGATCCCCGGAGGGGCCAAGGTGATCGATGCCACTGGGAAACTGGTAATCCCTGGAGGCATCGACACCAGCACCCACTTCCACCAGACCTTCATGAATGCCACGTGCGTGGATGACTTCTACCACGGGACCAAGGTAATGCTCTTCTTTGGCTTCTTCTGTTTCTGGGGCTGCTCTGACTAGACCCACGTGAGCAAGGTGCTCCCACTGTATTGCTAAAAGAAGGGTGCTCTCAAGGGGGCCACTCTGACAACTAAAATTGGAACTTCCAAGCTAGATGTCATAGATTTCCATGATTGCAGAAAAGGGTGTATTTAGGCCTATTTTGCTGATCGCATTGCTCATCTATGCACCCAGGTTGGGAACCGACATAGAGGAAGAAGAGAATTAGCCAGTGTTTTTTATTGTGAATGTATGTGGTGGGAGGCTGGGGGTTGATCTGATGGGCTCCTTTATGAAAAGCTAAATCAATTCCCTAAAGATTGTGAAAAATTGGTATGCTTCTTCTGGATGATTCTAATGGCAGAAATTATGAAACAGACATAGCTAGCTATCTTCTATTACCTCTCCTAGCTTGTTCATTATTTTTAAAAGCAGCTTGAAAATTACTGGTAGATGGTCCTGTTTCAGAGGGAGCTATCATGGACAATATTTGAGTTATTGAGCTGAGCCTCAGCTATTGTATGTACCTGAATACAAAGTACAGAAATTCAGACCTGTGAAGCAAATTAATTAGGAGGAAATTACATTTTGCAGAAGAAGCCACAAGTGGGTGCTTTTACCTTTCCACTGCTTCAGAACCTCTGTCATTGCTGTCACCTCTCCTCATCGTAATTATCTGTCACATACCAGCCTATCCCTGGACACCAGGTGATGGGCTTCTTAAGGGCATATTCTTCTGCTTTCCCAGAGCCTGGTAATGACCTGGAACTAGAGTAGGTTCCCAGTAAGTGTTTGTTGAATGGATGAGTGAATGATGCTTACCCATGCAGGCTTCTACACCAGCTGTGCACCAGAGTCACCTATGAAGATTTTCAAAATACAGAATTGAATCAGAATTTCAAGGGCCACAGCCCCTGACCCTGGCAGCAGCATCTTGTCCTGTCTGATTTACAAGGGACTTGGCCTGTAGTACTTCCTAGTTCCGTGGCTGCAGTCCCATGTCTTATTTTGGCCCATAGCCTCAAATCCCCAATGGCCTGCACCCTAAAATCCCACCTCTGTTCTGCCTGCAGTTCTCAGAGATCCCTCTCCCATGCTTAGGGCTCTCCCCCTGGGATCCATCTTCTTGGGGGCTCAAGTGCTCCTGCTGCTAGGCAGCCACTGACAAGGCTCCCGAAACCCGCCCCTGAAGAGCCTGGCTGGGGCTGCCGGGACAGACAGGGGCTGGTCTTGGGGTCACAGCTCTATGGGCCAGTCCACCTCAGGCAGATGGCCCTTCAAGTCTCCCTGAGGATATGCCTCTTTCCCACCCCAGGAGTGACAGACCTGAAAGGCTGTGCTGAGGCAGGGATGCTCACAAGCCTAATATTATGGCATCTGGGGCCACACTTGCCCCCTCTGGCTGAGCCCAGGGAAGAGAGATAGTAGGCAGACCCTCCCTACTTTCTCCTCTGAGAATGCCCCAGGCCCTATAGGTGATGCTTCACTGGTGAAATGGGGAGCCCATCCTCGTAAGCTTTCAGGGTCCTTTTGCAGTCAGGCCCTTTCTGAAGTGAGTGAGCGTATCCAGTTCACCATCCCATGCACTTGGGCCAGGCCAGGCCTGTGTTTGTGGCTATTGTTGTTATTTTTATTGAAGTATAACATACATACTGAGAAGTGCACAACTATTAAATATACAGAATTGTCACAACCGAGCACCCATGTAACCAACACCCAAATCAAGAAACCAAACAATGCCAGCACCAGGAGCTTCTTGTGACCCCTCCTGGTCACCACTCCTCATCAAAGATAACCACCATCCTGACTTCTCGTACCATAGTTTCAAAAAAAACCACAACAGCTTAATTGAAAAATAATTCACATACCATACAATTCACTACTTAAAATGTAAAAGTCAATGGTTTTTAATATATTTGCCATAAATTGATTTTTGACTATTTATATAAATGAAATCAGGTGGTATGTACCCTTGTGTTGGCTTTTTTTTTTTTTTTTTTAAATTTTTTTTTT